CCCCCCCCCCCCCCCCAACCCCCACGCTTTTTCACAGCACCTGCAAGCTCTTCAGAAGATTCAAGCCGTAATTTACAGTATCTGCAAGCTCTGAGAAGAACTCCAAACTATGTAATTTACAATATGTGCATGCTCTGGATGAGGTCCCATGCTGCAATTTACAGTATCTGCAAGGTCTAGATTTTCCAAATGGTGTAATTCCCAATATCTGTAGCCTCCACGCGACCTAACATGCGGCAATTTAGAATATCTGCAGCCTCGACCCACAATCCTGCAATTTACAGCGTCTGCAGCCTCTATGCAACCAAAATGTCGCGATTTTTTTTTGCGTTTCGGCTGGGACCCGCGATTTCGCGTCTCACACTTCGGAATGCCTGAAAAAACACAAAACTTCAAAAGAACAACAATAAAGATTTCCAAGTTGAATCTACGTCCTTTAATTGCTCATTAAGAGCTGACCTCACGCAAACCGTGCAAAAACTTCACATCAATGCTGCACGCCAGGACGCGCCGCGACTCCTGCCAGCCTTGCACTGTGCTTTTTTCATAGTACTCATTAAGCGCCAACCTCACGAAACCCGCGCGAAAACGTCACATCGCTTGATGAGCCTCACATCCCATCCGACAAAAAAAGTACAAAAAACCGTGCAGCAATCAAAAACCTCATCACATCATCCCACTAATCAAGCATCAAGCCATGCTATAGAACCACCTCCAATGGAAAAAAACATTGTCAAGCTTTCCTGCGAAAGGGGATTCGGGATTCAAGTGGGTGCTGGGAGGTCTGCGAGAAACTGGTCCTGGAGGCACAAATCTTGACAGGAAAGAACTACGCTGGCATCTGGGCGCTGGAGCCCAAATCACATGATGCTGTGACATTTTGTTGGCTTGGAGATGCAGTGAATCACCTGGCACATGGTTAAGGCTTCCGGCCATGGCAAGACATAGCTGCACACCTTCAGGCCAAAGCAAAAACATGTTATGAGACTGTCAGAACGTGCCCTCAGTGAACAAGTGTTATGCGCCAGCTGTCTACTCGGTATGGGGCGACATAATGATGGCTCGCGCTGCGAGACCTCTGAAAGCTGGCGATGAGGTGGGGTGGGTCTTCTTTGTGCAACATTTTGCAACTTCCCAGCTTCCCTTTCTCATCAGGTCACCTTCAGCTTCATGGACATTTGGTTTCCACTAGAAGTGCGACAGGAAAAGTTCACCACGGCAGGAGGCGGTGATGGGTTCTGGTGCAGGCCTGGCTAGCCAGACATTCTAGACAAAGGGTTCGGTTACCTGTGCTGAGGTGTCCACGCTGCGAAGCCGAAGCGTCCTGGACCTCCGCAGTCCTTTTCTAAGAAGCTGAAGACGTAATTTCTCCGTTCTCGAATTTCGTTACTTTCGCTGCGAGGCTGCTGTGGCCTCTGCTGACCTCGAGCTGAGGCTGAGCACGGGATAAACAGCGGGTCTTGTGCTGCTTTGGACTCGTATTTAGCGTGGACAGGTTTGAGAAGCAGCGAAGTCGTGTGGAGGGGATTCTGCGCTCGCTGGACCTAAAGCTGGAAGAAAGGAGACAGGTGCGTTGGTGGAGAGCGTGTTGCGAGTACTGAGTATTTCTGCAATCCTTGGATGTCAGAACATGCAGAAGCAGTACGATGCCATCCGAGCCTGGCCCTCAGAGCTGTTCAGTCACTGTCCTATTCACCTTGAGCTACTCCGTTCCAAGGACAATGAAGAACAGAGGAGAGAATACGAAGCAGGCAACCTCTCCGGCAAGTTCGCTTTTTCTTTGTGACCGCCGTGACCTTCTGAGGACTGCTGGGCTTGGCAGACCGCTTCGACAATCTGAAGGGCATGCCAAAGGACGAGGACATCGAGCAGCTCCAGAAGTATTTTCCAGAGGACAACGAGCCAGAGCCGCCGACCAAGTCGAAAGGCAAATGGCTAGAGGCTGAGTCGGCTGAGTGCATTGCTCCTGCACATTGCAAGGTTGGTCGAGGTGAGGCAAGACTTGGCAGATGACCTGGTGGACGCGATTCTTACTTTCGAAGAGCAGGCAGTCATCAACTCCTATCAGTGGGTGGGACAGAACTCTTGAAACGTGAGGTAGAGAAGATCGGAATGCCAGAGGAGGAGCGCCACTGGTTGATTGCAAACCATTTTGCCGCCTCCCTACTGCCCTCGGCCGCTCGAAATTATGACCCTGTTGTGTTCTGTGTGAGGCACAGTATAGCCAGCTGCTCACGATTCTTCGTTTGCGGAAGGATGTCGAGGCTGCGTGGGAGCACTGCCAGTCATACCTGAAGCCTGGCCATGCTTCTAGGCCCAGCGAAAGGTTCTGGGAGGCTTCTTGGATGCCGCCACTGCCTTAGACACTTCTCAACCGCATAAATGTGCTGTCCTGGTTCATCAGTTTTGAGGTGGCCAACACGTGCCCGGGGGGCTTTGAGCATCAACGCCTATCCGTGTTGCTTTGGGAGGCAGCGTTCACATGTGTGACATGTTTGTTTGGCCTCCAGCATTGTGATACGGAAGGTTAGCGGAGCCAGGCTTGAGTTAGGTTTTGCTTTACGAATAGCCGAAACAGACATTGGCAGACAAGGTCTGGAATTCAGCAAGCTTTTGATTCTATGATAGGGGCGTATCGGTTCTTGACATGTGCTTTGTGTTCATGTTTGCAACAAGTGTATTGGGGGTCCACTGGTTCGCAGCCTTTTGCTCAGCAGGCAGCTCTAGGTTTACATAGACAGAGCCTGCTTACATTGCACATTTTGCAGAGATGCTTTTTCTTCTAGCGTCATGCAGTTCCGGAACCTAATCTGCGGCCCATGGCTGCGGCGCTGCGCAGGGAGCAGACGGCTAAGCTGGTCTCGTCACACTCTCCCTTAGATGTTTGTGATGGGAGTCGTTTTTTCTTTTTTTTCTGTGAACATGGCTGTCTAACTTCGCCGGCACACCACCTTGCGTCATGCAAGGTTCAAAAAGTCCAACCTACCTCTACGTGGCAAAGCCCAACATACCAATACACATCCCGGGTCACGTCCCTTTGTATCTTTGTGATTCCCCCACTGCAAGTGATGCCGCGTGAAGAAGCCTCCGATTCTCTCATTTTTTGGTGTGAGTCCCGTCACAGACTGGACACTAAGTAGCGTTGCCTTGGGATTCAGGAAGATAAAGTGCGAGGATCTTCCGGGCTTCAGCATCTGGAGTTGAGGACTTGCAGGGTTTTGTGTTGTGGAGTCAATGCTGCTCTCTTCTCTTAGCCAAGACAACACTTGAGATTCCAGCCGGACACCGTGCTGAAAGTTGAAGCCTACATGTCGGGTTTCCTGATATCTGTGGCCATCCTGACTTCGCTTGTCCTTGTTCCAGGACTGCGCAGGGGTGTTGCTGTGTAATGCTTCCACCGCCTCACAAAGCAAACCCCCTGCTAGAAGGGTCCGTAACAGCTTCCACATCGGAATGGCAGAAGAATTGCAGACACCTGCATGCTGCACGAGCTGCACAAAGGAGCATGCCGACCGCAGCGGGGAAAGGCCAGATACACTATGGCATGATGCCAAGAGTATGGAGTGTAGTCTTTGCGCTCCGTGCATGGACATCAGAACTGTCATCTCTGCGAAGCAAAGACCCAAAGACGAGCGCAACATTTAATTTAACAACAGACAAAACACCACCCTACCCCAGGCAAAAGGTATACAACGGTACAGGGAAATTTAAGTTATCCTTCGACGGCACGGTAAAGTTGCTTTCTGGGAGGCCATTCATCATTTCTCCAGCATGTTCAGCTATGAATCACTGACAACCAGAGCTAGGGTGCGCTCGTGGAAGACAGCTGACAGTGCAGCTTCTGTGGTGTTCCAGCAGCCCGCCAAAAAACCAAAAAGAGCTCGGGTGCGAGTGCTGCCGCGCCCGCCCCGCTGCCTGCCCAACCGTGAGCCGCAGAAAGAGACACTGCTCATAGTGCGATCGCTTTTTTTCCTGCATGCGGGAAGCCGGGCTGGCTTTTTTGTTGCTTACCATTCAAGTGCCAGGTGTCAGCCCAATGCGAAGATCCGACTCTGATGCGGGAGGTTTCCTGAGCACCTGTGGAGAGTGCAGCTCAGTTTGGCGTGATGTCGGTAGAGGACCTCGTGCGGGATCTCATCCCCAAAGAGTTGGACAGGGTTCGGGAGGCCATCAAAATCAGATACGGTGTGGACCTCGCATGCTAAAGTAGTTTGTGCGAAGCTGGGAACTGAAACGTGTTGGCAGTGTTGGCTAACTTGATGGAATAAGGTCAAGATCTAGATGACACTGAAGCAGCTTGGCAGTAAGACGAGCGCACGCAGGGCAATGGGGACACGAAGCGCAAGTTTTGATTCATGTTGCAATCTGTGCATTCTGTAGGTCTTTGAGAGTTAGAACTGTGGTTGTGAAGCAGGTGTTTCAGGCATTTCCTGAAGCCTGCATCCTTAAGACGAGGTAAGTGCCGCCATGGCGCGGATTGCTTCCACGAGCATCATCGATGAGAATTGGATGTGGGATATTACGTGATTCGGCTGCATCGGGGCAGGAAACAGGAGGGCCGCGTGCAAAGTATGGCTGGCCGCCTGGCCTTCCACAAATCGGTTAGGTGGTGCGCTGGTCGGAATTATGCACCCGAACCAGCACGAGGTCCAAGCGGGAAGGCAGGGCACGGTCAGTCTCCTGCTCTTGAAGCACGCCTCATGGGCTCAGCCAGGTGTTGCCGGTGCTCGGCTCCTCTATCCTGGTGTGACTTCAGCTGACACGGAAAACAGAGTTCGACGGACTGCCATGCCCTGCTTTTCATTTCCTCGAGTCTCTTCGTCTACTCAGCTTGATGGAGCTTCACCGCACTGTTGCAGCTGAGCGGGCTCGCACATGTAGTCAAATGAGCAACACGGCAAGACGCCCTTTGCCCTGGCCAGCCCGTAGCTGAGCAGCCGCTTTGAACAGCATTGCCGGCAGTTCTGCTTCAGTGAATAGGTGGGAAGATAGGGGGAAGTATGTCCTTGGGTTTTCAGCTCTGGGACTTACACTACTCCACTGGACCCCGTTGTGAGTGCTTGTTCGCATGAAGTTGCATGACTCTCTCTGAAAGCAAGGTGGGGCTGGCAAGAGCACTTTGGGCCAGGCGGGTGGGGTCGATTTGTCCGAATTTAGTGTACTCCAGGTACTGAGTAACTACCGTTTGGAAGGCGGCCCTGACGCGTGGTCGGGCGCCATGCTTCCATCTCAGCTGAGATCAGAGCACATGAAGGGCAGAATGGTTGGGTAGCCAACAGCCTCAGATTTGCTGAGGTCTGGGCCCATGGGTGGCTCCGCTGGGGCGACCAGAGTTATTGGCAAAGGCTCAGTGAGCGTGGATGCACAGCATTTGGATGCTCTGCGCACCGCCGATTGTTAGCTCGCATGCAGGCCAGCGAAGACTAATGACGAAAGGCATCAAAATGGGCAGCTGGGTGGCCGTGTCGCTGGCGTCTTACGAAGGGTTTGTGGCGGGAACATGTGGGACTCAGTTAAACGTGGAGGAGGCTTTTACTTTGCTAACTCTTGAGGTATCGAGTGCCAATCAAGCAAGAGATTGACGAGAACGACACCGGTCATTACGAAGGAAGGATTATAGATAAAAGGATTGGTGGCCAGGACCGCCAGAACTGCAGCACTCGCATTCTGCATGAATGCAGTGGTCCTTTGTTCCGGTTGTATCTCGATCCAGGATCGGGAGTCCTTCATAGAGCTCAAGGACGTTTTGAAAGTGGACATTGATGGAAACATCATTGGAAAAGAAAAGAGCAAGCGACTCATCGATGCGTTCATCGAAGACTGCAAGGCCGGTTGCATACTAGAGGGCAATGCAGAACCTCGAACCCTGAAAACCCTAAACCCTAAACCGTGTATGCTAGCAAGCTGCTGTAGTTGTCCAGTTTATGTGCTGGGTCTTGCTGGAAAAGACACTCTTTGCCATGCCTGCGCTGCTGTGCGATGCGCGTGTCTAAACCGTGTATGCAGGGAGCGAGCGATTCTGCGTGACTGCAGCGTACATACAATTTGGCCGTGCAGTGGGTGCAAAGGATGGCGAGCCAGCCATGGCAGACAGAGCAAGCCAGGGCAAAGCATGATGTGTTCCACATGGTGCGCATGAAGAGCAGAGATGTGCATTCAGCGAACAAGCAATCCTGAATGGCTGCAGCGTGCACGGGGTTTGCCGTGCAGTGAGTGCAGAGGATGGCAAGCAAACCATGGCAAAGCACGTGTACTATGCGTGCTCTGCACGTGGCGTGCCCCGGCCGTTGTTGGATGTTGGCACAGGCTTTGTGTCGAGAGTCTGTCCCAACTTGCGGTCGTACAGTGATGGTAGTAGCCTTTTTTGGAACCCTGTGCCGTCGTAGACGTCAGGTGTTTCTTGCATGAGTATACAATTATGGTGGCTTCTCGGGAACCCTGTGCTGTCGTAGACGTTGCTCATAGCCTAGTTTTGCCTTTTCGGATGCTGGTCAAATTGGGGTTCGGAGGTAAGGGGTGCGTTTGGGCGTGGTTTGATTTGAGATTGGCATCCTCCAGCTTTGACGCCTAGACCTGGGTCGTGCTTTGCGCTGCATTGGCCACCCTGTGCCGTCGTGGACGTCAGGTGTAAGTAACCTAGCCGTCTTTTCGGATGCCGAGCTAGCTGGGGTGTGGTGATGTACCAGGTGCATTCGGCGTTTTTGAGCTTGGCATCCTTCAGATTGAAACCTCGCCCTGGATCGTTCCTTGCGCTGCTTCGGCCATTCAAGTGGCAAAGCCGTGGATGCAGATGATGCAGGTCGAACTAGAGGAGGGCAAATTCTTGAGACCCCGAGTGAAGGTGCTGTGCAGGGTGCGTTGGCCTCATGCAGGTGATGAGGCTTTAGGTTGCGGTAAGGGCATGGTGACGTGATCGTAAGAACCGTGCTGAACATGAGACTGAGGGCAAGGACGGAGGGGCCCCCGAAGGGCTAAGCCGACGGCAACCAGAGCCCCAAGCAACATGCTAGACACAAAGAGAGTCGACGGGGTTGTAAAACAACCCTAGATGGTGTATGGCCATGCAAGCGTTGAAACACTGCCCCCTACCCCAAAACGCGTGAGGTGAACCATTTCGAAAAAGAGCCTTGAGCCAAACCTTCAATTAAAACCCTCCGCCAGGTGATAGAGAAGAGAGACACCACATGGGACAGCATCAAGCTGCAGAGCGAACTTGCTTCTTGCTTGCACCGAAGGGCAGCGCTAAAACACGTCTTGAGATGAACTCGTCCATAATCCAAGGCAGCTGCACAATCGCAGCCACCAGCGATGCCCCAGGTCCTAGCCGCAGTCGGTATTTCTCCGTATGGAAGCCATGGACATGGCAACCCACTAGATTTTTCAGGAATTGAAGTTACGTATTGTAAATGTCTGTGAGGAGTCCAAGAATTGTTGTCAGTATAAAGGGACAGGGAACAGCAATGAGATAATGCAAAAGTTTGTGCTGGACTGTGCTGCAAGGCAGTCAACAACAGCAACAACAGCAACGATGAAGATGGCGAGAGCATGCCAATGATGGGCATGATGCCCGGCATGATGATGATGCAGAACATGATGCAAGGCCAGAAGCTTGTGAGCTGCAGAGTCAAAGCTAAGAGTTGCCAGCGTGTTCTTGCAGGCATGATGGCGGCCAGCATGATGCAAAATGCGATGATGGGTGGCATGGGTTGTGGAGGCTGCATGGGTAAATCTGGGTGTGGCTGCTGCCCTGGCGGTGGTGCCTGCCCCGGTGCCTGTCCCGGTGCCTGCCCCGGAGCCTGTCCCGCAGCCTGTCAAGGTGCTTGTCCAGCTGCCTGTCCAGGCGCTTGCCCAGGTGGTTGCCCTGGGGCTTGCCCTGGTGCTTGTCCCGCAGCTTGTCCAGGCGCGGCTTGCCCAGGCGCTTGTCCAGGTGCTTGTCCAGGTGCGTGTCCAGGCGCATGTCCAGGTGCCTGTCCAGGTGCCTGTCCAGGTGCCTGTCCAGGTGCCTGTCCAGGTGCCTGCCCAGGTGCCTGCCCAGGTGCATGCCCAGGTGCCTGCCCAGGTGCATGCCCAGCATGCCCAACATGTCCCAGTTGCCCTGGTGCCTGCCCACTGCCTGCCCAAGGCGCCTGTGCTTGCCCTGGTTGCGGTGGTTGCGGATGTGGCTGCCCCGGTTGCCCGTGCGGGGGGTGTGGGTGTGGCGGCTGTTGCTGCGGTTGCGGGTGCGGGGGGTGTCCAGGGTGTGGCTGCTGTGGTGGCTGCGGCTGCTGTCCTGGTTGCTGCGGTGGGTGTTGCGGTTCTCAAATGGGAAATGCAATGTGCGGAGGGCAAGGACAGGGCTGCATGGCTCCGGGCAGCATGGGCAGCATGGGCAGCATGAATCCCACTGCGAGCCTTGTCGCTGCTCCCGTGGCCAGTGCCAGCCGAAGCAGAAGTAGAAGCCCCAAGCCAAAGAGCACAAGTACATAGACCTCCGGAGCTATCCCTTGAACTGCCAAACGGCAGTTGTATTTCATGGATGCGGAATGCCCCCAAAGACTCAACAGCTCGCATAATCAAAAGAGGAGATCCTTGCGTGTCCTGGAGGTTCGCTCGTGTGCGGTTTTTCTAATGCACTGGAGGGATTTCCTAGGCCCCAGAAAGAGCTGGTGAGGACGCCTGCAGGATTTGCATGCCAACACAGCTGATTATAACTGATTCGAACGTTGAGGATGCAAGGTCAGCAGAGATGCAGGAAGAGGAGGGTGGAAGACCAACAAGGTGGAAGATGCGGATAGCTCCAATGGCAACTTTTCATTGACGTCGCCATATTGGTCCAAGGTTTCACTGACTGCGGCGAAATGGAATCTGAGTCTATTGGTGATGTGGACTTTACCTTTACAGGGAAAAGCGTTAGTTGCTTCTTGTCAGAGCTCCTTTTGTGCAGCTGCTCGGTGAACCCTTCCATTTAGTTCTCGCTGCCACGACGCCATTTGCCGCGAGGGAGGCTGGGCTGCAGCTAGCAGATTTTTATCCTCGGGAGAGCGTGCTTCAAGCTTCTCAGGAGCCTTGAGAGATGGGCTGCAGAGCGCTCAGACCTGTTTCCATTTTTTTCAAAAGGGTTGGTGCTCGCTTTCCTTGATCCAGGTTGCGACAGTAAGCCTGACAGTCCGACTGCTTGTTGCTCAGTGGATTTTTCCGCGAAGCCGTGCTGCGCATACTTCAAAAACCTAACAGCTCATCTCAAGGCATCTGCCAGGAGCTCGGATGAGGACTGGCGATAGAAGCAAGTGCGGCATCTGAATGAGCGAGCTGTTGAACGCAAAGCCGTGGAGGAGCCTCACTCTGATGCAGCACGCAGCCCTGGGGACAGCACAACGGGGAAACACAGACACTGCCAGCTCTGAGGCTTGGTGCGGACGCAAGAAGCGCAGCAAGTCCCAAGGACATGAGCCTTCGTGCATCAATGAGTTTCGACTGAGAAGCTCCCATGATCGTAGGCTCCGCTTTGGTGGCTCGAGGGCAGCTGCTCGGTAGAGATTTGATGCAGACGGTGACAGACTGCTTCGCATGCAGTGGCCCCAGGCAGCAACCGAACCATGGCCCAGGCACTGGTCGAGTCAGCAACAAGCTCTTGTATTTTTTTCGACTTGTTCAGGCTCACTCTCGGAGGGAACGACGTGTCATCTGCACATGCCAGCAGGCACCCTAGAAAACCAGCACCTGCCAAGGAAAGGTCAACACGCTCGAGCTTCGAACGTGAGGACATGGTAAGAGGCATCCAGGCTTTCGCCTGGAAGGAGGTGTCTTCCAAATCGACTTAAGCCTCTGATGTTGGGAGCAAGCATGTCTCCCTTGTTGTCTGAATGTGTTGGCTTGACAGCAACAGCAAGGATTGCAGCGAACACTCGTCATGTCGCTTGATTGAGGCTAGTCAGATCCGCCGAGAGATTATGAAGCTTCAATACCGCGAGGCCGGCTCAAATGGAAATGGCAGAAGCAATACGATATCGTCCTTTCCCTACTCAGGTGACTCCAGAAGACTACGAGTTGCAGGGTCCCCGGGAACCTGCTGCCGCGTGCCAGCAAAGCGCATTCTGCCGGACTCAGGCTTTGTCTTTTAGATGAGAGCCTGCCCAAGAAGAATACTCTTCCAGAAGCATTGGTGCAGGCTGGAAGTGGACCCTTGCGCATCAAACATGTCGAAATTATGTACCGGTGGAGGGTCTGCCTTTGGTGCCTGTGGTGGACCGCAGCTCGAAATGTCAGGCCCAGTGGCCTTCTGCAAAGCCTTGGATTTGCACACTCGCATCCCGTGATCTCTCATCGCCAGGTCTGTTTGCTGGAGCTTGGAGATACTAAGGCCTTGCATAGCTACACCATAGTGTGCTTAAAGGCATGCAGCAAAGCTAGTAGCCAGCAGCTCGATAGAGTGACATCGTTGTTTGTTGCACGCAGCGCAGTGCTGCATGCGGTTGCACCACAGGTGCCACAACTGCCTTGTGGCCACGTGTTCCATTTTGAATGTGCCGCAGCCATAGCATGGCACAGCATGAAGACTGGGGAGGGTACTCATTTCTGAGGCTTGCAAGTGGTTCACAAGCTGTTCAGCGAGGTGTCCGGTTTGCCAGGTTCGGGCTTTCTTGAAATTAGCGTTCTGCTTGCAGGGCTGTGCATGTGTTCCAGGTTTCCATCCTCGACCCGCCCATGGCTCCACCTTCGGCCGTCACCAGCGATGCCCCGGCCTGCACACCAGTCAGAGAGCAGAGACAGATAGAGACAGCCTCCCATGCTGTGCCCATGCTGTGCCCATGGATGCCAGGCCAGCTCGGAGACGAGCCCAGACAGTCGATCTTGGCTGAGACGGGGTGAGGACTCGGAGTCTGAAGCCGTATGAAGCCGTGTAGTCTGGCTCCATGGCTCCATGGTCCATGTCTTTAACTTTCCTAGGCGGGGTGATGATCAGGCTCAATCAAATTTGTCTTATGAGCTTGTGCCGCCTGCGCCCGGCTGCTGTTGCCTTGTGCATGAAGAATTCGCGTGTATATAGGCAGTAGGAGAACCTAAGGACTGAGTCTTCAAGGTCTTCAGTTTGTTCCGTTGTCCTGTTTCGCTTGCTTTGTTTCACTGAATTTGTCTCAGTCCGTGTGAGCACCCGTGCAAAGTGCCAGCCTATGGACCCAGCATAAACACGTATCTCCATATCCTCAAGGGGACAGCAGGCAAGGCCATCAATTTCTGCAGTGCGGGACACTTTGCATGTCTTAGGCTTGTACCGTTGGCTGCGTGCTTGACAGCCTCGTGGCCGTCACTTAAAGAGTTTTGTGCATGCCAACGCTTTTTCAAGCAACCGCTTGCTCATGCTTCCGTGTGATTCCACTTGTTCGGGTAGAATTCATGCGTTAGCGGTTGGCGCATTGTTGAACTTATGCAACCAGTGCTAACGGAACAGATGCAAGCACTGGAGCTTGGTGAGTGGCGCGCAGCTACAGCTCGCATACCGATACTCTCGGCCTTGCGATACCTTGTGTCGCAAGGCCGTACGCTGCTTCGCTTTCGATCTGATGGTTCGCATGGCATAGACGTCAGACTTGAGCTATCTTGAGCTACAACTTGGCCTGTGGCCGTGGGGCCTTTCATATTTCTCTAACCCCTAGACATATGGCAGGCGGCGATCTTCCGTCAGACTGTAGCTTGCCGGCGCTGTCCCAAAACCAGATGTCCTTTACTCAATTTCAAGTGGCCGGAGAAAAAGTAAATCCAAACCGGAGATGAGAAACTCCCAGCTCAAAAACATGTCTTTGCGCTGTGTGCAAGCCGAGAGCTGTTTGCCGCATCTTGCTGCAGCTTTTGTGGCTTTGAAGCGTCATGTGGGTCTGGAGGTCGCTAGGATGTGACCAAGCTGCCGAGCTTCCGCAATCGACTATTGCCGCTCTAGGCGGGTGGGGTAAATTGTTAGAGAAAGCGCAGGGAAGGTTAGCCCGCATAGTTGTATTTATGAGCCCTACAGTGCTGCGGGTATGACTGTATTAGGGATTATTAACTTTCGAATTTGCGCAGACTCCCAGACATCAGAGGGCGCCATGTTCATGACTTGCTTCTTGCACCAATTTTGCATCGTATAGTCCTTTGATGAGAATCGAAAAGGTGGGCATCCACGTTGTCTCGCGCAGCATTGATATGGGAAGACACATCAACAATAGGGAAGTGCGGCGCATGTTCAATGTGTGACGCCTACACTTACACATACGTGTGATCCCCGTGTTTTTCGCGAGCACCCGCTGTCTGCAGCATGTTGAAGTCACAAGGCTACCGCGCTTTGTTCTGAGTAATTCTGGGTGACTGGTTTAGTGTGAATGCCGGGGAAGGTCTGCTTCCTGACAGGCCGGCGGTGCCGCAAGGATGGAGAGGCACCCTCACTGCTGACACCCAGTCCAGCCTGGCTGGATGCAGGGGAAGCACGCGAGGGCCTGGAGTGTGTCAAAGACTCTAAAGGAGAGCCATACTGCCTGAATACTGCGCGTGACACAGTCACTGCACTCGCGGCATGGCGCTTGGAACCTCTGAATTCCTTGCGGCTCTGCGTGCCTGCGGCTGTTGAAGTGAGCCCGCCCGGACCTGTCGTGGTTCTCGAGATGAGCGAGAAATCTGCAAAAGGCGAGAAAGGCTTCGCTTTCAAAAACGTCCGAGAGGCTCTGCGAAGGCTATGCTCGCGAGGCGGAGGAACGTTTTGTTATCGTGTCCCCACAGCCTTCGTTCGATTGCGAGAGGAGGCGACCAGGGAAGTGCTGACTACTGCGGACCAGCCTTCTTGGCCGCACTGTGTGACTGGTGTGCTGGTGGGTGCAATGCTGCGAGTTGTCGTTTCAGTGGATGGCTCGTCAACCCTCCCCTCCCTTCCGTCCATCAGGGACCCGGAGGAATCCCGAGCTGTGATCATTGAATGCGAGACCTGCCGCCTGTCAATCATGCAGAAGGGTGGTCCGCCACTGGACCCGGCAAAACTTCATAGCTGCAACGATGAGGGCATTGCTCACGAGTTCGACCTTTGGATGAAGAGGACACGCAGCAAGCCCAACACGTGGCGACTCCTCAGCATCACACCAGAGCCTGGGGCAGTTGAGGATAGGCTGGTGGCAAGTTTGGCCTTCAATCCTCCTCCTGGAGTGTTGGCAACACATGGCAGGCAGATGGGTGATCTAGTGTTGGCAGCAGTGGCAGACATTGAGTTCAGCATCGAGCCCTTCGAACTCAGTTACGGTGAGTCCCACCTGGAGTCCCTGCGTCAAATGGTGGCTGAGGAGATAGCAAACCTCCTGGGAATTTCTGTTGAGCAGGTGATGTGTGGTAATTTCATGCTCAAGAGCGTAGTCCCCAAGCGGCGGCACGTGCGGCGAAACTCCATGATGCTGCAAATCGCTTTGCTACACTCGGGGTTGATCGATGTGGTCCGCGGGCCACAGATGCCCACACGAAAGCCAGCCGCAGCCCTCCCGACTCCGGTGAGCCCAAAACGAAAGGCTCTGTCCCGCAGCCCAACAAGCGCCATTGACTCGCAGAGCCTAACAGACACGGCTGCGCCGGATGATCCTGTTTCGCCTCACGGCGCCAAGAAGAGCGTTGCGCTGACACGTGCGCTCACTACATTGAAGGACACTGAAGAGGCTTTTTCTAAGACCCTTCGTGGCATGAGCATGTCAGCTTCTGCTCCGTCGTTACATACCAAGAGCAACACACAAAGCAACACTCAGAGTCTCTACAACACCTTGAACTTCCAGGGTCGGGAAATGCCCCCCGACCAGCTGTTGAAGATGCTGGTGAACATCCTGGGTGATCCTCGACATCCCATTCGGAAGCATCCGGAGATCTTCCCTATGCGCCTCAGAATCCTTTGAACACTCTTCACCTGGTAGGTTCTCACAAAAGTACTCTTAGGGTCCATTATCATACAGCCCCTGAAATTTCAGGGTCCCCAACACAGGACCGCACGTTTTCATTTACTCAGCATGAAAGCTACGCCATTGCAATTTCTGAGGTTCTCCAAGATTACCAAAAAAGCCGTGATGACGAAGGCACCGCTAGTGGCCAGCCAGGACATCATCGACGCCTCGCACATGGCCGCATCCATTCGTGAGCTGATGCAGCCTAGGAAGGCCCGGCATGTGTACACACCACTAGGCCTTCTTGGAAATCTTGCTTCTTGTGACATGGACCCTTGCAGTTGTTGCTGCTTGTAAGGGATGTTGTTTGCTTTTTGGACCTGTTAGGTGAAGCCTTTGCCGTCAGATCTGGACGGAACTTCCATGGAACAGTTATCCACGATGCGCACGGAGATTCTGAAGCTGTATGCCCAGCCAGGGGGCAGCATTGCCGTGCAGAAGTCGCAGTTGGTAAGCCTCACGCCTAAAGAGATTCTGGATCTTGCAGACTCCTCCTTCGGCCAACTGCACTCCCTGGTTGCATGCCTAGAGGTCCCTTAGCTCATTTGGGAACAAAAGGTTCACATATTGCTTGGCTCGGATTCCAGCAGAGGCTACCATCGAGAAAACGGAGACTGACGTGGAGTTCTGTCAGAGGCTTCGGCTTCACCACGCTGTAGAAAGGACCGTTGTGATCATGCGGCACTTCAGCTCAAACCGAGAGGCAGGGGTTGTTCTTTGTGAAGAAGAGGCTCCCTGAAACCCCAGATCCAATGCAGGACCCTATAACTTATAAGGACGTACAGGACTTTGTACACGGTTGGTGAGCAGCGCTTGCGCGGCACACTGTCTACCTTCATAGCACGTGCCAAGAGTTTTTATTTCCAGGTGGTGTTCCGCGGGTTCCAGATCCTAGGGCACTTGACGAAGCACGACCTCCTCTCCGTCGACGCAATCCTCGAGAAGTCTGTTGCGCCAGACATTCTCCTGCCGCTCGGCACAGCGTGGCATAGACTTCAAAGCCTGCAGTCCCCCAGTGAATCGGGCCCGCGACGGAGTTTGGGGCACTTGATTGCTTGAGGTCCTCGGACAATTTCCCCAGCGATCAGGAGATGCAGCTGATCGCATGCCAGGCCCGGGCTTGACTCCTTGACCTTAGCTGGATATGGCCGGCAGTGGGACAGCAGTGGCACAGCAGCGGCACAGTGCCTGAGCTGCGTGAGCTGTAAAAATCTGTAGACACGCTTCAGGTGCTGCGGCGCGTTTACCTCCGAGCACGTGAGAACACAATGGCTGGTTCGCGCATAGTCATTTTGGGGAAGCAGCTGGATGAGGCAGGTCCCCGCCTCCACATGGCCCGCAGGCTTGGGTTTGAGATGGTTTGAGCACCCGTCAGTGTAGGTATGGACGTTCCATGGCCTCGCACGAATTTTGACCTCGATGAAGCTGTTTCCGCAAGATGCGGAGATCCAGCTGGAATCCTGCGTGCTACTTGCATCCATTGGCGAGCTGCTGCATAACAATGGTTATGCCACGGAAGTCTTCAAGATCCTGGATCTTGCCATGCGCAAGCATGGGCAACGGGCTGCTTGGAAGCAGGGGCCATGTTATCATTGAAGATGTGAACCTTTTGCACATGAGCTGGAGGCCGACCTTGTGTCCCAGGGCATTTTGATTATTGCGCGTCTCGGCGCCTCCTTCCTGGCCGTCGAACATCGGGGTGTCCGCACTATCGTGGATGCCATGGCGCGGCACCGCTCCAACAAGGAGCTACAGAAGACGGCCGTTCGCGCCCTCTTCGCCCTGTCCAAGGACGAGCTAGCCTTGAAGGCGTCTCGCTCTGGAGGAGGTTGGGTGAAAGCAAAAAAATCAGCTGAGCTCTGCTGTGTTGCTTTGTGACGCTTTGCGCAGGTGTTGGAGCGATCTTTGCAGCCATGGCCGCGCACCCAGATGCCACGCAGGTTCTGCAGGAAGGCACACGAGCTCTGGAGAAGCACTGCCCTCGAGCAGTTGCCAGCATTGCTCGGCTTTGCGGCGATCTCATAGCCGTGCTCCCGCCTGTTGTTTGGTCCTCGGGTCCTGATTTGGGAGGAATGCTGCAGGCCCCGCCCTGAGGCCGGGTGCGCAAGCGCACCTTGCAAGACAGGTGTGAGGGCTGTTCGCAGAAATTTCCTGCTGGATAAGGTCCACCTGGACGTGGAGCATTTGAAGTCCAATGGCTGGGCACCTCGAGGCCAGAAAGACTAGTGTCAGCCTTGATGTTGTGTCTGTGTATGTATGGAGGCATTGAGAATTTCGTCGCAGAGTTCTCTCCTCCTGCCGAACGCTCTAACGATGAGGAGGACTTGCTGCACCTTTGCGCAGGCTTCCGGCGCAAGAAGGGCTTGCGTGATGACATCGACGCAGCTGACTCCCAGTGGATGTCCTTGGGCAGCGTGCGGGTGATGATGCCAAGGAGCTCAACCCACAACATTCTCCAAAAGGACATCAACGCCCTGACGGGTCGTGGGTGTGACGTGGAGATTTTGCGGCAGGCTGGCCCCAAGAGAGAGCACGTTCAAGGAATTTGCGAGGTCCTGGCGGAGGGCGTCGGGCCGAAGAAGTACACAGCTCAGGATGGCGAGCTGCTCGTTCTCATCTTGGGCCACTTCGCGTGGTTCTCCCACACGCATGCGAGTGAAATCATTGAGTTTGGAGGACATCAGGCGATCCTTGATTGGCTTCGCACAGATCGCTTCAAGGGCCAGAGGGATCCAAGAGATGATGCTTTGGCTTTCCCCATGCAGCGTGCATGCCTCTCCACACTTAGTTGCTTGTGCCGGCATGGCATCGACACTGCTGGGCACCTCCTGGAGCTGGAGGCAGTAGAGACGGCTGTGCAGTTCACTGGCCACCTTGAGGCTGGAATCCGCTGTGCCTCATTGCGACTCCTTGCAAGGCTGCTCCCATATGCTGTGAAGCGCTACACGGGGAAGGACTCCAAGGACTCGATGCCCATGGACGAGATTTGGCCAGCCATTCTTGGTGAGTTGCGGAGCAGTGAAGAGGTCTTGCGCACTGCTGCGGCAACCTGTGCAGTGGAAGCGATCAACAGCGGGACGCTGCCGACAGACCCAGGTATGACCCAGAGCTTGGCACAAGCCCTGCTATTTGCGCTGGATGCCGCTACCCTGGCGGACTCCGCTGCCTCTGCCTTGCCTGTTCTGATCGCCGTGTCTCGTATGGTGTCGGACACGGAGGACGAGCATGCCTCCACTGCAATCAAGAATTGTGACACGCTCATCCCGCTCTTGACGGATTGGCTACCAAAGGCGACACAAACCCGGGCAGTCTCCACTGCCAAAGCTGCGGGCCTTGCTGCTGCCAGTACGCTACGAACCTTGAGTTCCCTGCCGATTGATTTGCCTTTTGGAATGTGCTTAGTGTACTTTTCTGGAATCTGAGGTGACGGCGGCGCTGCATTTGGAGGTGCCAGGGCAGGGAGGGAACAGGTGGTGCGCACCTTTGACCTTGCGATGCCACGTGCCAAGGTGCTGAGCTAGCCGCAATTCTGCGGTACGGCACCAGCGTGTCCGCAGAGCTGGCGTGTGAAGCTCAGCAGCTTTCTAGGGTGGGTCAGCGTTCCGGAGCGGACGGTGAAGTGGCATCACCGAGGTTGCAAGAGGCTTGCAAGGCGGCCATCGAGCTTGCAGTGCAGCGGGAGCCAGATGCAAGTCTGCTGGTGCAAATGCTGACAGGGAGGCTTCGACTGGGAAGCAGTGGTGAGGAGAAGATCGCCGACCTTACCATTTTGATTCGAATAGCACAAAGGGCTGTCGTGTTGATCAAGCAGGACCCCAACCAAGCCACCGAGTCGCTCCTCATGGCATTGGAGGATTCCAACGAGCTGATTCAATCCATCCCTCCTGACTTGCCCGGGGACAGGGACATGGATGGCATCCTCCAGGAGTTGATGACCCTAACCAGCAAGAGCATCGGTTTGGCAGATGGACAAGAGGAAGAGGAAGGCCTATGAAAGGTCAGTAGAGGAGATCAGAAAGGAGCGCTTCCTTTCTCACCCCTCGCGGCGCTCAAACGCCCTTTTTGCAGCATCTCCCACAAGATGCAAGACGCGGATCTCAGGCCACTGTGTTTCACGGGAATCAGCCCATATGTCTTGTAAGCGTGTCGAAGTCGAGTGCTCACAGACGTGAGGATAGTTCGCTTCCGCAGTTTCATCTACTCACGTTTCACCTTGTTGGAAATTTCAAGTTTCACCCTAGGGCATCTCCAGCACAAGTCTTGCACAGCAAGGACAGCGCGGGTTACCAAGCAAGGACAATGTTGAGATTAGCAGCAGATTTTGGCATCAACTTTCTTTGGTTGGTCTCTATGTCCTGAAGAGCCTAAAGGACTCTACAGGTTATCTGTGTGCCTGTTGAGGGCCCACATGGTTCCACTTCCTGACGTCGCTATCCTCAATCATGTCAGTGGCAGGGGTACACAATTCTGACATCATTCCCTACTGCTCGTGTCACAGGAATGCAGTAAAAGGAATATCTAGCCTCTGACAGCTTTGGGTCAAGCCTGCTTCAGCTCCAGGATAGCAACACTCAAAATTCTCAACTTGGCCGCCTACCCTATATCGGACCCCTTTCTGGAGGCCAGCTGGTGTTGTATGGTTGTGCTAGCTGCTGAACGACACGTGCAGACAACAGCCATTCAGATGCAGCACATGAGTGCCGTTGTGGTAGCAGCAGCGGCGAGATAACATCGGCAACCACATGGTTGCTGATAGAAATCACATAGGTAGTTGCGAGCTCAGCCTCAAGATGTCAGCTGCTGCCTGGCGCCTTGCTCTGTGATGTACCAGCCATGGTCACAGCCAGGCATTGTGCAGCTCGTGCCGCAGTAAAGTGAGTTGCTGCAGAGCATGCGAGGGGCCAAATCTGCCGCAGATGTTCTTTTGATGTTGCAAGGTACGCGCCACCCGTTGCCAAACCAATTCAGGTTACGCCTGGGTATGCTATTCACCCTGGGCACCCAGGACTTGTGGCAGCTCCTGCAGGTGACAGTTTCGGTGTCCGTGGCTTCTCTTCAGGAGGCTATGCACAGCCAATTCATCCTGCTGCGCAACCTGCCGGGCAGCCTGTGGTACTGCCACACGCAGAGAGTCGACCACACAGACCCAGCACACAGCTGAGGGTACTTTTGCTGGCATGGTGCTGTGGTGGTTCTTTTTTTTAATTCTGGGTTGCTTTGTTCATACGGTTCCACAGCTCCACAGCCTCTTGAAATGTTAGTCCTCGAGCACACGAGGAGATATCTCTGGAGTACTCGTATGCTGAGCTGTCAGCCTCTACGATGCTTGCTGGCATTTGGCAATCGTTCTGCTGTACGATGTTTCGACACCTTCACCGATAATTGGACTTGTTGCGAGGAGCAACTGGCACGACTCGCGTCGATTAGGTTCTGGGTCCTATGGATCTGTCTACAAGGAGTCCGGAATTTCAAAGTTTTTTGCAGCAAAAAGCGGAAGTTTGCAGGGCGAGCTCGAGGATGGCTCCGAAGTTGCCATCAAGGTGCGGTGGCTTGGAAAAAAGGTCAATGTGAAGCTAGTTCGTGAAGAGGCCATAGACCTCGGCGCCTTGGGTGCCTCCGGCACTGCTCCGGAAATGGCTGGCTTTGAGGAAGAGGCCAGTTAAATGGATTCTATGACGTTGGATCATGATGTGTGACTAGTGAGAAAGTGTGTTGGAATGTGGGCATGGCAGGTGCAGATGTTGAGCAAGTTTCGGCATCCAAATTTGGCCCGGCACTCGCTGCTCTCGCTACAGTGCGGCCAACCAAGGCATGCCAAGGCCATTGCAGATTGTGAAAGCTTTTGGCGGCTGAGGTCACGCTCCTGGGCTGGGGCAAGCACGACAGTGGCTCTGACAGGAAGCGCTACCTGGTCTACGAGCTCTTGTCTGGGGGAGACTGCTTCCAGCGCCTACAGAAAAGCTGCTTAGCTCAGATTTGTTGCGTGCGACTTTGGCATTCCTTCATTCCTTTTTACCGCAGCGAGGCAAAAAGCTGAGCGCGAACAGCCCGTTCTTGTGGCCAGGGGCTCGAACATGATGTAAGCGGCAGGTTCCGTAGGGTTCTGCTTGCATCCATCACTTCAGCACCTCAGGTTTGAGCGGCTCAGCGTCTGCTTGGATGCTGCAGCAGGCTATCCAGCGGTCCTGACTCCAGGCTTATCCCCTGTTGAATTTTGTCACAGGTCTCTCGCACATGCTGAACTCCAAGCCGAAGGCTTTCCACAGGGACATCAAGTCTGCCAACATACTTTTAGCTTGCGTCTTACATAAACTACCCGGCTGTCGTTGCCGTCCCTCTAGGTCTTTCGTGAAATACGCCAAGGACAGACATGGGACTGCAAAAATGGCAGATTTTGGCCTGAGCTGCACCTCGAGCCATGCAAATTCGCCCGCATCCCAGCTTCAGGCAGTTGGCGGAAGATCTGGAGCCCCCGTTCACATGTCAGGCTGCATGTCACCGTGCGCACGATCAGCGGGACACCAGGCGCAGCTTTAGCTCGTCAATGGAGCTCAGTAAGGCGCAGATCTGTCGCAGGATATGCGTGCCCCATTTACTCTCGCACCGGGCGCGTCACTGAGGGCAGTGAGGCCTGGCTTCAGTGATCTGCATCAGCCGTACAGTGCACAGCGGAAAGGTACATTCCTTTGGGATGGTCATGTTGGAGCTGCTGACTGGCCTAGCACCAGCAACGGCAGACCCCAGCAGGTAATGCTGCACGTCCAAGCTTGGTCAGAGCATCGTTGTTGGTAGTGCGTCCTGATGGAGGCCTAGCGGGATTGCCTACCAAGTAGCAGATGCGATCTCGCCGCTTGCTCCATTTCTGGCTTGGTGTCATCTTCTTCAGGCTAGCCTTTTCTTTATGTACTCCCAGCAAGAGCGGAGGTGGAAGCTGTTGCCATAGTAACTGCGTAGTTTTTTGTTGGTTGCTGATTGCAATTGGGTATTTGGATAGAAGAGCTGCAAGGGTGCAGCTTTGAGCTTCGGGTCACACTGACTGCTCGTTGCAGCTCAGGCAGCATAGCCCCGGTGCCCTCGAGCGCTGCTTGTGTGCCTTGGACGCCAACGCCGCTTGTCTCCTAAACTTCGCCAGCTCAGCTTCATGCGCCGTTGAACGCACCTTGATCCACGACACAGGCTGGCTGGCCCAAAGATCTAGCCAAAGAAATGGCTGAGCTGGCGCTGCGTGCTGTGCACTCGCAAGAAGAGGTGCGGCTAAAGGTTGCTACTGCAGTCATTTTGTCATAAAGGAAGTGTTCAAGGAGCGGCCACGCTTCGTAGAGGTTGTCCGCACGCTCCGGAGGCATGGTTGGTGTTTGGGCTTGGGCCTTCAGGTTAGCTTTGTTGTCATTGTCAGGAGCAGCCCCCCGCAACCAATTTACAACGCATTCAGTTCTGTCCATGGGTAGAGAGAATTACGCCAACTGACCAGGCTGCTGGAACGCTTCCCCAAGCCGGTCCAGTCGCTACGCGGAACTTAGCGAACTTTCTAGCTCTTGTGTAGTTTGACAGCTTTTGCACTGCAGGCCGCATCTGGCTGCGCCTGCTGCGCCTCCGGTTCAGCTCGTGGCTCCCGTGGCGCCTTCGGCAGTTGCTCCCTCAGCCGCTCCACAGCTACCACCAGCCTCTCCGGTGTCACCCTCGGATATCGAGCCGAACCCAAAGGCATTGAAGGCCTTGGCAGTGCACAGCTCACAAGCTGCATTTGCCTTGGACTTCTTTGCGGCCATCGGTGTTGATTTGACCACGCTGCCAGCTGACCTCCGTCGGTTGTGTCTTGCAGGAGCGTCCGAGGATGGTGTGCAGACACAGACAGTTCCTATTGGTCGTTTCCACCAACAGAGAGCCTTCGAGGCTTGGGTGCCAGACCAACGACAGAACTGTATTTCGAGAACGGCCTTCGAAATTGCATGTGGACCTAAGGGTGAGAGAGCAGTGCTAACAGTTCGTGGATCCGGCTTGATCTCAGTTGATGGTAAAGCTGCCCCTCGGGAGATGGGCATTCCGCTGTCATCTGGAGCTGAGATCGCCTTCCACCACGGTGCTGACCTGGCTGCGGTTCTGCTTCGGCTACGCTTCGTGGCAGGGTCAGACCTCTCACTCTCCGAGCCGGGGAAGACCGAAGGGAAGCCAGAACGGATTGACAGAGTAGAGACAGAGAAGGTGGAGAAAGTGCAGCCGAGCTCACCTCGCGAGGAGCCGAGCTCGCCTTGTCCGCGCCGGGCAGTGCGGCCCATGGAGGACATGGAGGTTCGGAGCCCATCCGCAAGGTCGAGAAACGGGAGTGGCACATGGATTCTGGCTTGTGTCTACGTAGAGGGCCTGACAGCTGGACAGCTCGCAGACTTGCCCAGTGCTGTAAGGGATATCCAGGTGCCAGGTCCGCTGATGCTTGGGCGCATACACCAGAGCCAGTTTGAGGCTCTGGCGAAGGCAGCAGATAAACCCAAACTGGGTAACTTCATTTCTCGAACACATGGCCAGCTGGATACAGATCCTGAAGGCACGTTCCTTTTTGTTACAAACCTGAGCTCCAATCCGCAGCTTGGAGAAACAGTAAAGTTGTGTGTACGGCATGGCCTGTAGTGTTTACTAAGAAACTTCTTCAACTCCTTGTGACATCCCTGAGGTTGAGGAATCTTCAAAACCTGCTGACCTGCTTTCCTAATCTATGATACCTTGCTAGTCTGATCCACTTTGTATCCTTCGTGTCGGTAGTAACAGGGTTTTGTGCCTTTCTGCTGCTCTTTCTGCATTTTCTGCTCGTGAGCTCAGGCTTTATGTTGGTGAGGAGCTCGTGGCGCAAAGCCACACTGTAAAGCTGGCAAGTGGCCAGCTGCTGTGCTTTGCGCGGCCAGAACAAGACTCAGGGAACCACATCCATTTTCTGAAGTTCAAGGCGACCATGTTTGGATGGGCAAGCTGTGTGCTTCTGTAGTTGAAAGTCCAGATGTGTGCGCAGAGGCGATGCTCGTGGAAGGCCCCGCCAGCAGACTCCTGAGTCTGAAGGGCATAGGCATCAGCAGATGATTTGATAAGGCATCAAGAAGAATTGCCAAGCATTTTTGGCCAAGAAAATTAATTTGAGCCGTAATCTCTTTCCAACTATATTGTTCTTCTCCGTATTGCTACCAGCATACGTGATATCCGTATTCATACTGTAAGTGCTGCTATTCCCCATTCACTGTATTCTTGCTCATGTATAGTACAGTTATCCTGATTTTTTCTCGATGCTTATCAATTCATTTTTGACACCATGCGCGAGTTTTTTCATTTTTTCTTAATTGTTGATGTCAGTTTTTATTGATGCTTATCAAATTTTCTTGATGCGTCACCCAGTCGGAAGCTGGCTGACTGTTGGTGTTTCAGTCCCTTCCTCCCCATGTTCCCCTTGTGCAGCGAAAAAGGTCCAAGGGGTGGCCAAGAGGCAGGGCAGCCAGAATCGGATGCAGCATTTTCTAGCGCGGTGGGAACTGTCCAAGACAGGCAGCCAATCGAGCCAGCCAGCACGCTGCACACCTGTCTCCGCAGAGAAGTGTCGCTCCAGCACATTTTTTCTGCAAAGCAACCTTGGCCTTCGAAGATGCTTGGCCTGGCCACGGCAGTGACAGGTGCGGCCACGTCGTACAGTAGTAGAGGATGCAGAGGCACATGAAGGGTTTGAATCAAGAGTCAGGCACAGATCACTCAGCAATGCCAGGGCCCGCGCTTGCTCACCTTGTCGCCGCCATCGCGAAAAGTGAACGATGCGTCCTCCTCGCCATACCGAGCTTCTTGGCCAAGCCAAGTCAAACGAGGTTCGGAGGCTCCGAACCCTCACAGTATGCAGAAGGCATTGCTTCCCAGAGCTAAGGTTAGCAGACGTAGCCAGCACAGGCCCGGCCCGCAGCAGAAGTCTGGAAGGATTTGTGCGCAATCTTCGAGCTTCAGTTGCATGAGGCCAGGAACCGCCATGGTTTGTCTGGAGCTTTCGGGCGACGGCGTGCTGGACGTGCCTGCCAGCGAGCGCAGAATTGGACCAGCTTCTGTGGCTGATCAGCCACTGCCTTTTGGCGGGCAAAACGTTACTCCGAACACGTTCTTATTCATATTTAGCCTGCATGCTTAGGCATCGGCTTTGCAAGACTCGTGCATTGACGTGCGCTGAGGATTATCGGCAGGAAGCACCAGCCAGAAGTGCATAAGCGCGCCGTCAATCCGCAGTGCTTGAAGTTCATGAGCAGGGACCACTTCAGCATTTGCTCTGAGCATGGGCTGTTCCGCTGCTTGGGTAAAAGCAGTAAGCAATTTGAATCGGAAAGCCCTGTTTCTGGCCGTTTCAGTGATGCAGAACTTCAATGGCAGCCCAGGGATCGAGCCCCTGACCTCCAACCCCATGTGGCGCTTCCGAGCCGGCGCAGATCCTCTTGAGCTTGAACAGCAAAAGCCTTCTGACATACGCTCAGGCGTGAAGCATGTGGATGCATGTGGCGGGCAAGGGCTTGGTGCATTGGAGCAAAACTCTACGACTGATTTGGGTTTGCTGTGGGGCAGGAGATCGTGTGGCACTCGGAACTGGAAGTGTAGACGCCCCAGACATCCCTTCTGAGTTGTGCTGCTGCACACGGCCAGCGCTCTAAGGATAATTCTCCAGAGGCAGCTCTCCACAGTCTTTGCTGGCTCTTCACTGTTGAGGGTGCCGAGCATGTACAGGCCAGAACGGTGAATACTGCAGGAGTTTTAACAGAGAAGCCTGAGTCAGTCGAGTGCCGTCCTGTAGACGCTCGCGCTTTAACCTATCGTGCCCTTCCATATCTTCCGTATCACACCTGCATCAGGCACCCAGGCTGAGCATTCCTGGGGCTCGCACGCCACCATCACCAGGTACCACCTGCAGAGCTCAAGGAATGAAGGGCTATGCAACACCAAGCCAGGTGGAGCTTTTCCGCGGACCTCTGAAGACAAGCCATGGGCAATCCGCGTCTTGAGGCCAGGTTTGATGCCTCAGCATGACAGTCACGTCTCATACTTGCAGGAGATGAAAAAACTCGTGCTCAGGACGGAAGAGACCTCGAGCCCGGACAGTCCAGCCAGCCCGGCGCGTCAGCCCCTCAGGCAAACCACCTTTGAGAGCAGTCCAGACAGCGTTTACCTATCCTGGAAGGTGAGCGCCTCCTCTCTGAAAGTGGTGCGCCAAAAGCCAAAGCAAAGAGCCGAGCTCCAAAGTATTTGTAGGATTTTGTAGGGAGCCAGGCGATGCACCTGGGCCACTGGGAGTTGCAGGCATTACTGTAGCTCCACGAAACGTGGGATGCCTGCTGCAGCGCGTCACTTGCAGGGGAGGCAGTTCTTGCAAACTGCAGACTGCAAAGTCATCTCAGCATTCTTATTTGCCACCCCGTCATAGCATTTCTGACCATGAGCTTTGTGAATTCGATCTTCTTGCTTAGCAAGAAGACAAAGGTTGGACATTTGACATGCGCTTCAAGCAGCGGCGCCATCACCTACCAACTGGACAGATAGCCACATGTTTCTAACCTGCTTGCCTGAAGTTTCATAAGCCCAAAACTGTATCAGGAGATAGGCTGACGCTGCTTGAGGCAAGCTCTTATTTTCATTCTGAACAGTCATGTGCCGGCACAGGCTCTTTTGTAGCACGCCTGCTCCAATGGAGCTGTTAGATCGATGCTTCTTTTTTTGCAAAAGTCCAGGCGTCTGTACTGGGGTGTACTTCAGAGGTACAAGCTGTGGTATGGATGTTCCACGAAGTTCAGCTGCGCAGCTTTCGGGTTCAATGCCATGATGTCAGCTCGATGTTCGGCAGTCCCATTAGCGCACGGGCGGACCCTTCGTCTGGCCGGGCAGCCAGTCGATCGGCTAGCCCCTTTCGCCAGGGCCGAGCACCCCACACCAGCCACACCAGCCACACGCTTCCAGGACCACCTGGCACCCAGCGCCTACCGCGAGCGGTCGTTGAACACCTGCGACTGGTTCATCTCACACAGTTGGACGAGCTTTCGGATCTCCGGACCAGATTGCGTGCTACGAGGCATTGCTGATGGGTTTCTCTGTCCTTGAACACGCATCTGCTGTGCAGGGATTTGGAGCGGCGGCGCCATGAGCTGCAGCAGCAGGTTTTGGTCATGCGGCATCGTGAGGTGGGAGTGCTCATGCTTGGCCATCTGCAAAGACCACTGCTCCAGGAGCAACTGGCAACAGAGGTGGCAGCAACTGCCCGGCATCTCGCTGGACGCCACCAAGCGCTGGGGAAGCTTCGTCCCTTAGTGTTCATAAAGGAAGCTTCAAGAGCTAGGAAGGGGAAGCTTGTAATTCGATAGCCAGGTCTCGAGCTCGCTGATTTGGACAAGAGCTGCAGCAATGTGGAGGCTCACATTCGGGTCTTGCGTAACATCGCCGACAAACTCAGTGCGGACGCACTTGCTGAGGACACTGCCTCAGAGCTGCACAATCCAATTTCAACCAGTAATTGCACGCACCTTGTGAAAGCTGACCCCCTTCATGTTCACTTCATGCATGGCCTGCTTGATGAAATGGAGCAAGTCTGAAAGTGTTGCAAGCTGAAGGCCCAAGATTTGATCTTGCGCGTACGTGTCTCCAAGTCTCTGCAGACAACATGAATAGTACCATCCGTGGGGCACAATGGAGGGAGTCGAAGCAGGTTCTAGTTACGGGCCTTTTGAACCAACAGGGGGTTTTGGGGGTTGGAGGTAGGTGGACAAAGGGACTTATGTCAAGCTTCATGCTCACAAGTTGGGGTTCCCAGCCGTCCAGGAGGCAAGAGCTCAGCAGGAGCAGCAGGAAACGGAGGCAGCAGCAGCTGCTGCAGAAGCATCAGCTCTACCCGCTACTGTGCAAGAGATTGGACCCAGCCCTTTGGAGGCTGGGTCTAGCAAGCCATTGGCGAAGGAAGAGGGGCCCAATGGATCGGAGGAGAGGATACCGACTCCTGGCTGCACGTAAGCTGCGTTGCCTGAGCCGTGCAAACTCGGAGAAACTCGGAGGCTGGCGAGTAAGAGTCTGGAAGCCGCTAGCCCGACTGGCCCAACTGCGCCAACTGAGCTCGGTAGCATGGGCCATGTAGGCCTGGAGGCCAGCTGTTTACCTCAAAATGTTTTTTTTTGTGTGATTCGTATGTGTTTTTGCATGACTCACGGAGCACGTGGCCAAAACTCGGATGTGTACTTTTTTTAAACAAGGATGCCTCGCAGAGGCAAACGTCAGGATCTATAGAGGTGTCGGAAGTGCAACCTAATGTGCAGGACTTCTTCAGTTACTCGGAAACTTCAGTACTTGATCCACTTCCGGACCGACTGCGCGTCCCTTCTGTACTCGGATCCCTCTACCGCCGACTTGCCTTCAGGCAGCAGAACTGCGCCGACAATTAGATGAAGCGCTGGCTGACAAAGAGAGGCAAACCTTCGCTACTGCCAGTGCTAGTACTGCTGCTGCTGCTGCTACTGCTGCTTGTTCCTTTCGTCATAGGACGGCTATGAGGGCTCCATGGATGGGGGTCCAATAAAGATGAAGCTTGAAAATCATCATTTGAGAGGTAGGCAATTGATAGCTTTCGGGAAGTGATTCAAAGTCTAAACTGATGGCTCTTGGGTCTGAGGGATCCTCAAACAGGATCCTCAAACTTAGGGGTAGTACGGTGTGGGCTGCGTGGGCTTCAGTACTGATGGTTTGAGGCATTAAGAGGATGCAAAAATTGATTTCCTACTGAGAGTGAACTCGTAATGCCTAGATCCAGGTATATATCCTCACCTGGCACGCCGTGTCAAGCATGTGAGTTGCTATAGTCCCCCAAATTAGCGCTAGAATTCAGACATCCCCCTCCAGATCCCAGGGTGCCCCCTTTTTAAAGTTAATTCGTGTGCATGGATTGCCGCTTCCGTCCCATTTCATGAAAAAAACAATGGCAACGGATTCCCCACCATCCTATCTCCATTTTTTATAGCCATTTTTAGTTTTTGCACGTTATGAAGTGATGCGCCACCCCCTCCCCCACCCCCCAAATTATATTAAAACCAAATTTGAATTCAAAAGGACTTTAATGGATTCTCCCCACTGGTCATCTAAATCTAGTGGAGGATTTTCGGAACAACAGGCACAGAGATCAGAAGAGTTCCAGTGACCATAGATTCTGTGTTTGTGTTAGTCAGCCCGCCTCTAGGCCAGCAGCCTACCACTACTACCACTATTTGTCTGATGATGCTAAAGGGCAAGGTAAGGGGCAGTCCACAGCTGAATTGAGGCCAGTTCAGATTTTTTTCCAGTGCACTACTTGCCGAGAAGTAGAACCCCCACTGATCTTTCATCCCAATTCCTCTGCCCTGAAGCACCTAGTCCCAATACGGGCTTTTGGAGCTAGAGATTGGCCTTCTTTTGGCCAAATATCTGAGAATGGAGGCTAGCTTTGGAGAAGTTGGATCTTGAAGTGGAGTTGGAGTCGGAGCAGCGGTCCTTCGAGCAGGACAGAACTTGTTGCCTACACTCCTGGAATCTTATGATGGTCCCTTTGCGCAGTATTCCTGTATTTGTGATGGACCTCCACACTGTGCAGTGCATAAGTGTAGTGTAGCGAAATATGCTGTCTATTCAAGGTCGTGTCCCAGGTTCAGTGCCGGCGTAGGAGAGTCAGAGTGCAGCTCAATTAGCAGCTTGCCAACATTGAGGAATCCTGCCTCTCAACCGTATCATTACGGTGGTTGCAGGTTACAGTACCACTCCACTGCGGGGATGAACCGTTTCGTGTTGTGTTGCAGCAATGCTTTCGGCAACTGGTATTGGATTGATTTCAGGCCTGTTGGCGGTAATTAAGAGATTTGCAAGATGTAGGGCTCGTGTTTGACTTGAGTAAAGGGCATAGGCTGGGAAAATGCCCCTTAACACAAAAGTATTGGGCCAAGCAAATCATCAGCATTGAACACTGAATTGGCCATGTCTTGAATACTGCTTTTTCTTCATCAACGGCCGAGTAGCAGGATCCGTTATAGGTTCCCTTTAGAATCCCTTCAAGGCGGGTCAGGATGTTCCCTGTGACGTTCGTGGATGATGTCTTTGCCAGAATGAAGACTTCGGCGCAAGCAGACGCTCTCATTCTGGATCTCCAAGCCCGGCTGGCCACAGCTGGTTGATGTTGAACGTTACGAAATGTACAGTCATTACCAGCCCCATGTTGCTACAGCATGCTCAAGGCGCCCCCCAGCCCCGATTCTGTTCTCAAAGAGTTTCAACATACTTCTCAAGGGCAGTATTCTCGTAAGAAGGTGGCGTATGATTACGGGATGGGTGGTAGTGGCCCTTGTACGGAGTGGCTTCTAACTAACTTTCATGCACCAGGTCATGTTTGCCGCCCTTGCAACAAGCAAGAGCACTATCAGCAAAATGGGCAGTCGCCTCGTCGGGTGCTTGCACACTATGCCAGGTACATATCCTCTAAATGGTTGTGTGCGATTACCCTCATCCAACCCTTCTCATTTATCGATGTCACACAGAAGCCCCTCATGCGGCTATGCCCTGCCCAGTGCTTCATGGTACAGTAATGTCCTCGGAATGCGTGCTGCAAGCATTGCCAAGCAAGAATTGCTATTAGGTCAGCATAGCGAAAAGGCGCCCATCCCACAGTACAGGGAGGCCCCTGGAATACCTACCTCGAATGGCTTCTTAAAACTTATCGCTGAGTCGCCGCTGCTTCTGATGATTTTGGCGTGTGGAAACTGTCACAGACTGTGCCCGGGATAGGCCGCATTGGGAATCACACAGCTGCAAGCTGGCACCTCTGCATTCGATCAATCCTGACTGCTTGGCGTATAGTCCCTTCACACGTGTCCGTGACGGCTTGCAAGCAGTTGTACTTTGACATAATTCTGTCTTCGTGCACCCGTCTTCTGAGGGTTTGAGTTTCCTGTATTTGCATGAAGAAGAGGGCATGCAGGCAATGCAGTCTCGCAGCTGGAGTTTTGCTGAAGCAGTCCTATGGCATATTCACTGGCTTCGTTTTGAGCACCTCATCTCGGCTTTGTCTCTTTGCATGGAGAATGTGGTGTACGACGGTTACGCCCCTGCATAGTGAGTCTAGCTTGGCGAGTGCATCAGCTCGTGGTGCAGGTTACTGTAGCACCTGCTGAGTGGGCCACTAAAGTTGCGACCCTTGTGTGATTTCCTCCTTCGAAGCAACCAGCCATCATGTCAGTAGAACCTGGTGGCTGGTTGATGGTGCCATGTCCTTTCCCGGCTTCAGAGCAGCTAGCCATCATATTGATAGCATGTGGTGGTTGGTTGAAGTTTCAGTTGTTCCGGCAGCCTCTCTAGCCCGTGCCTCAAAAATCTCTTCATCCATTCAGCATATTGCTGGTTAGCCTTATGTACATGCTGCACCAAGATAGATGTGGAGAGAGAGAAGCCCATTACAAGTGGGCGCTCAACATTGTACCCCCATGGTGCTCCACAAACAAGCGTCTCTACAACTGAGGAGCTGGGAGTCTAACCAGCTTGGAGAAACTCTGGCCCCGAAACACCGGACCCGGAAGTCAAAGTTCTGATATTTTAATGGTAGCCCGTCTGACCTATGTATTATATTATACTCAGTATATTGGAACCCCAAGAAAGGGACCATCATTTGAACGAAGTAGGGGTGTCCATAAACGAGGGATCCGTTTTTGGGGATATCTTTAAAAAGGATTGTAGTGCTTCGGGGTTTATATTGGAGCCCTTTTTTCCTACTCCCCACATTTTGATGGCATTAGAATTACCGACCGCCAGGAGCGCCTGGCACGGCAGCAGGAGGCAGCACATAATGCAGAAGCCTGAGTCCCCATTTGCCTGTACAACTCTTGTACATAGATGTAAGTTCCCATCTAAGTATAATTTACCTTGAAGCCGTATTGTACTGACTATATTGACTAAGGTCCTGGAACTAGCGTGTCGGGACAATTTTGAGTATTCCCAAAATAGGTGTCCGCATTACGCCGTTGGTGTTCTCTCTGGGAATCCAGGTGTCAAAGCCCTTGCTATGACTTCGGTCTGCCAAAAATGGTTCTGCACCTTGGAGCCCCCATGATGCCAGAAGCCTAAGACGGTTGCTGCTCAAACTAGACATCCGCATGACCCCGACTGAGAAGAAAAGGTTCCTGCACACAGAGATCCTTAGTTTTCGGTCTTTGAGCAAGCCTGTCTCGGAAAGCATGACACTCGATCAAAACACCCGCTCCCAAGATGCCAGGGAATCTTCCGGTACGAAGAAAATTCGCCACAGCTTCCCGCAATCATATTAAAGTCCCTTGAACCCGCACTCTAATCCTAAACTTACGAAAACAAAGGGTCTGTGGGGGCACCTGTAGTGACACAGGTCATGCTGCTTTGGAGTGTAAGGAGCGCAACAGGCTCATACAAGCTCGTACCAAATTTGACATGCCAATAAGCCAGGTGGCCTCACCACGGGTAGAGTATACAGTGATTTTCTTGGTCCAAGACAGGTTCCATGTAGTCTTGGCAATGCCTCACAGTATGCTGCTCCAGGAGCTTAGTCGGGGACAAGGGCTTT